ACTTTGCAACTTTAAAGGAACTCTGAGCAAATATTCAGTAACAGTACACTGCTCACTGTCTGTCTCAAACTTGATAATAAGAAACAATTTTCTCTCTACTATACTTGCTTTGGTTTTTAATGGAAAACAGAATACTTTAAGGATAAATCTGCAGAAACTCTTAAACACTAAGGTGTTTTTACTGAACTGGGTCACTATTTTGAAAGAACTTTCTAAGAGTGTAGATGGGATCTTATATTAACAAAGAGGTTCCTTCTGGAAGCAAGAAAGATGATATCATAAGAAGAGAAATGTTGCCAAATGTTGTGGACCCAGATCCTGGATATGGTTCCTTAAAAACATTACCGCCCACAGACATGCTTGTTATTTGTCTGGATTACAGAGTTGGATTATACATTTAAGCATCTGGCTTGCAGTCTTATTTTTTTTTAAATTAGTAGTAGTGTTTCATTTCCCAGCATAATTCTTCCTTCTTTGCTTTGGACACATCTAAGTCTGGCTCTCCCCATGTTGTGTCTGACACAAATCATACATCTGAGAAAGAGAGAAAAGACCCAAAACAGTTGTTTCTTTTTACAGACAGTATAAAGGATGTACAGACCAAATGTTTTAAAATAACTTTTGTGACACTGAAAATGAAGAACTTGTGGGAAGCCATGAAAAGTCAATTTTATAGAAAAAATTTACAGAATGAATATAGTTAAATGGAGCGGGATCACTCTGCATTTTCATCCAGAGAAGTAAAAATTAAAAGATTTAAATATTTAGATTTAAAAATGGATTTAGATATTTAGTTTTATTCTTTACAACTGATTCATCAGAAAAATAAGGGAAACATAATGCTATTGTCAAGGCTCCAACTAATGAACTAACAAACCAAATCAGAACTCAGAAATACAGAAACTATCAAATACATATGAGAGGATAGANTGGATTAATTTAGCAACTCAGTTGTGTCTAGATTTGTAATCAGTTTGTGCAGTTTTGCTGCATTCACATATTAAATGTGAAACAGTTTCGACTGTGTTATTGCAAAGTCGGCAGTTTGGATTGTCAGTGGATTTTTGTATCTTCGCTTTCATGGCATTAGTTTGTGGTGCTTGTTCTTGAGCAGCAAGTATTAAATCTTCTGTTTCTTTCTTGATGGTTCCCATCTTAAACTATGTCCATATCAAGTTGTCATCACATTTTCCTTCAATGTTTTTCAAGTGCTGTCCATACAAAGCTTTAGTTTTCCATCTATATAATCTGTCATCCAGCTGTTTTTGTTTATATTGTGCTTTTGTTTCTGTTGTTTTTATACTGTTCTCCGTTTTCACAGCCTGTAGCAATTTTTCTGTAGTTTGGTTCACATAACCATTCACACTTCATTTTTCTTCTTCTACAGTTTGATGAATTTGCTATAACCCCCTGCCCCCTATTTTTCGCGGCAGGTACAACCTGTCGATGTCACTTTGTGGATGTATAGCGTGATATATATTCAAAAGTTTGTGTGTTTTCTGGTCCAAGTTTTCCAGTTCAGCCAAAGTCCAGTTGATAATTCCAGCTGAGTAGTGTATCTTTAGAACTGTCCATGTATTAATGGCTTTAATTAGGTTTCCAGCATTCAGCTTTGATTTTAATATTTTGTGGACCCTCTTGATGTATTTCTTTTGCCTTTGCCTTTTCCATTCAAGATGTTATCTGCTTCCAATATGCCTAGGTATTTGTAACTGTCATCCTTTGCTAATGCTTTCATTTCCCAATTCTATTCCTTCTATTTTTCCCCTTTTTCCTCGCTGCATAGATAATGTAGCACATTTTTAAGTCCAAAGTTCATTTTGATGTCACTGCTGAAAAGCTGAACTGTGTTGAATATTGATTTAAGTTCAGGGGGGCTTTTCGCATACATTTTTAAGTTATCCATGTATAGTAGATGGTTTATCTTGCCATGTTGGCTTGAGATTTGGTATGTCAGTTTTGTGTTTTGTAGGATTATTGTGTGTGGAATTAATGCAATGTTGAACGGTAGTGGTGAAAGTGAGTCCTCTTGAAAGATTCCTTGTCTGATGTTGACTTCACCGATCTTTCCCCCATTTGCTGTTAGAACTGTTTTCCATTTTTGCATATTTCCTTTCAAAAATGTATAGATAGTTTTGCTGATTCCAAAGTTTTCCAGACAGGTGTTAATCCAGCTGTGGGGTAATGAGTCAAATGCCTTCTTATATTCAATCCATGCCATATTTAAATTTGTTTTTCTTTGTTTTGCATTTTTAGTACCATTTTGTCTATGAGCAACTGGTCTTTTGTTCCTCTTGATTTTTTATCATTTCCTTTTTGTTCTACTGATCAGAGAAGGCCGGACAGAAAGGAATCCAGGAGAAAACTATCACACATTGGGGAAAGCAATTGGGGTAATTGTAGAAGGTAGGACAGAGAAAACTTCTACAATTACCCCAATTACTTTCCCCAGTGTGTGATAGTTTTCTTCTGGATTCCTCTCTGTCATGCTTTCTCTGATCAATCCAATTGAGTCATTTTGGACCTTTGAAATTGAGGTGCCTGGTGGGGTTATTTGATTAGATAATGTGTCTTTCTGAATGGGGAAGTTCCAGAAAAGTTTAAAAAATTTCTTATTCAACAGCAGGCATACGTTAGCTATGCTGAAACACGTATAGAAGCAATAATTAACCATATGATTAAATCAGTAAACTAAAAGCAATGATTGGCCTTATNTTAAAATGTATACCGGTAATCTAATATGAACTATAAGTAATGACTGTGGAAGAAGTGCATAAAAGTTATCTGTAACCAATCGACACGCTTTTTACAAGATGTATTGAAGGATGATTCTTTTTTTGTGTGTTTTTGTTCAATTAAAATAAAAAAAATAAAAAAAGTCTCCCTGCCCCCCACATTGGTGCTTGGGTGAAAAGCTTAGCTAAGGCCCTGGGATGATCCAATCGACCGCAGGAACTCCCTCCAGACCTTAGCCGTGAACTGGACTCCTCTGTCTGAGGTAATTCTTCGAGGTACTCCCTGCAGGCGGTAGATGTGTTTCAGGAACAGTTTGGCCAGCTTGTGACTGAGGGTAGTCTGCTGCAGGGTATGAAGTGCGCTTGTTTGGAGAACAGGTCTATTACAGTTCAAATCACCATGTTTCCGCCACTTTTCGGCAACTCTACTACAAAATCCATTGTGATCTCCTCCCACAGCCTTGTTGGCTCTGCTACTGGCTGCAACAATCTGGAGGGGGGGGGTTTCCTGGTTGCCTCTTCATTGTGGTGGAGATGGTGCAACTTTTCATGTAACTGTCCACATCTTTATTTTGGGCCACCAGAACTGCCTCCGGACTTAGTGTAATGTCTTTAGGAATCTAAAGTGGTCTGCCGGTTTGGCATCATGGCTCCTCTGGGAAATTAGGGTGCGTAGGGATTCCGGGAGTTTCCATAGATTTCATCCCCTTCCATGCAAGGTCATCTCTTTTTGTCAAGATGTGTTGGTTGTTTTGGAACCAAGTGTCTGCTGGCAGTTCAGTTTTGAGTCTCGTGGTTAGGTCGCCTGCTGGTTGGTCATGCCGGTCACAGCGTTGTCGTCTGGTAGCCACTTGGGCAGCTGTTTGGGTAGAGGGAATGATGGCGTCCACCACCTGCTCCCATTCGCATTTGTACTGGGACATGCGGGAGAGGGTATCAGGTAGAAAGTTCCTCTGCCCTGGAATTTGTTTTAGTATGAAGTCGAGGTGGTTGAAATATTGAGCCCATTGGACTTGTTTGGGTGATATTTTCCGTGGGGTCCTAAGAGCCTTCAGATTCTTATGGTCAGTCCAGACTTTGAACGGTTTCTGGCCCCCTTCCAACAGGTGTCTCCAGGTTAGCAGTGTCCATCTCACTGCGAAAGTCTCCTTTTCCCATGTGGCCCATCGTCTCTCTGTGTCTGTGAGCTTGTGGGATGTGTAAGCGCAGGGTTGTGCGTGTCAATACCACCCACTGGCGCCTCCTGTCCCAGCCCTGAAAATAGCAGTTCAGGTGAGACCAACTGCCATTCTACGCATTCTATTTTCAGGCCAGTGCATTTCACTCACTCCCAGTATAGAAATATTGTATTTGAACATTTCTTGAATAGTCTTGTGTGTTTTCCCAGATTCATATAGGCTTCTCAAGCTCCACGTTCCAATTTGTAGTTTTGGGTTTATCATGCTTCTAGCGGACCAGGAGATTCTTAGCACCCCTGCCCCATTTAAGGGGCTTCCATACTCGGGGCCATTGTTAGGTTTGCCACCATTAACATGATTTTCCTGGGAAATATATAGTGCAGTAGTCTTCCCTCTGATTTCTACACCGCTTTGTACATGCTGTCCAAGTGTCTGCCACCACACCGCGTGCTGTTCTTCTGAAGCCGTTCTGACCAATGAGGTCTCCACTTTCAGTCGATACTGACGAGCCAGCTGCAACTCACCAGGCCCGTTGGTCCATGGAAGGTATTTGATTCCTTCCAACCCAACATTATTACATAAACGCTATACTGGGTACCCCCCCCCCAAATCTGCCACCTGGGGACGGTGCTCTGTGGGGGTTCCAGGCTGCCCTTAAAAAAGAATCCCATCTGCTTGTTTGGTGGAAGAAAGGCAGTATTAGGAATGGGGGGCAGAGGGGGCCGAGGAAAGAAGCCTTAATGCCTGTTTTGTCTGTATATAGAAAATATTTTTTATTCTCTCTCAAAGTAAACAATTATATTTTACCTTGTATGATTTGCTGCTTTAATTATTTTAGTTACTGTTTATTTTATATAATGCTGTTATGACTTATTATACTGATTTGCTTTTTGATTAAAATTATTTTGTCCTTTTTAAATTAAGTCTTTAATGGATTGTTTTATATTGTGTAGCAGAGCTATAGAAAATGTTTCATTGGTTTTTGTTAATAATTGACTACTTATTATAATATAAGCTGAAATATCTTTAACAAAATGGTAAATAAAATTAACATTGACTAATATTATTTTTATTTCATTTTTAATAGAAGTTGCAGAACTTGAAGTAAATTTACCTTGTAAGTATGGTTTTCAGCATATTTTTAAGGAGTATTCAGATCCTCATTTTTCATCCTTATATCACACATTTAAGATAATTGAGGGATATTTAGATAAGCCCTTCTTGAATTGTCATTTGTTGTAAATGTAATTAAGGGAGCTTACCAGGTAGATATTACAATTCTTTTATCCTTAACTCTTTTGGGGGGAAATTGTTGTGTTTCGTTTTTTGCATCTTCCTCCTTAAGGTATCTTGCAAAAAGCTTAACATTTGTCATTCTGATTCATCACATATCAAACATTTCTATTTTAACTGTAAAGGCTTAAACAAAGTGATTAAATATTATTGAAGTTGACATGTTGAAATGTTTATTGCATTTGTATGCCGCCCTATCCCGAGAGACTCAGGGCGGCTAACAAGCGAGGGGGAAGGAGGGAAATACAAACAAAAGACAAAACAGGCAAGTGAGTTATTGGCTTTAATCCTGCCTAACATTTCAGGATGTGAAGCTTGCAACAATATGTTGCATATTTTACTCTTTAAAATACCTGTGTATGCTCACACATAAGTAATATATGAAAGCAGTTCACGGCATTTATAAATAAAAGAGTACTCAGATTCCTAAAGGTGACTAAGGGGATTGTTTACATTTTACCAGGTGGAAAACCCATGCTATGAAAACGACAACTAGGACCAGAATTTCTGTTATTAAGCAAGATAGTTGTTAAGTGACTTTTGCCTGATTTTGCAACCTTTTTTGTCATGGTTTTTAAGCGAATTGCTACAATTGTTAAACAGTCAGCTTCCCCCCATTGACTTTGCTTGTCTGAAGCCGGCTGGCAAGGTCACAAGCGGCAATCCTAATCCAAGGATTCTGCAACTGTCATATTGATTGCCAGATGGCCAAATTTTGGTCACGTGGCCGTTGGAATGCTGTGATGGTCATAAGTCACTTTTTTCAATGCTGTTGTAACTTTGCACTGTTGCTAAATGAATGTTTGTAAGTCAAGGTCCGTCATCTGTACTGCTATACGTTGGACCAAAATTCTGGCAATAACTTTAAAAGCATAAAGCGCTTTGAGGATTGTTTTCTCTGAGTCCCTCTTAACATACTCAAATGGATGCCAAATATAAAGAAATCTCAGTCTAGTGATCTCTTTCTGGTTGAGCAGCCCATCTTGCCGGGGCTATAGAAAAATATAGAATTATTTGAGAATTATTGTAAGAGATTTTTTTATTTGCATAGGCCTTTAAAATGTTACATTCAATACATATTATTACATATTACAATATTCACATTTTGTTTTGTTTCTATATTTTCAAATCATAAACATTACAAACTGTCAGTTATTTCAGATTTTCATATTTATTTTCAGGTACATGTGAAGTGAACTTTCCTGACCCAAATAAACTCCATTTCTTTCTCCTAATCATAAACCCAGGTAATTAAAATGTATATATGTAGGTGGTGGTGGTGTGTGTGTGCGTGTGCGCGCGCGCATGCTTTCAAACTGATATTAATTTTAATTGGCCCTAAGCACAGAATATATTCAAATATTCACCTGCTAAATTGTTTGGCCATTTTTAGGACTTCATTCTGTATGGTATGAGCAAACTCCACCTAAGAGCTGTGGTGGTGCAATGGTTGGGATGCAATACTGCAGGCTACTTCTGCTACCTGCCGGCTGCCTGCAATTGGCAGTTCAAATCTCAACAGGCTCAAGGTTGACTAAGCCTTCCATTCTTCTGAGGTCGGTAAAATGAGAACCCAGGTTGTTGGGGGCAATATGCTGACTCTGTAAACAGCTTAGAGAGGGCTGTAAAGCACTGTGAAGTGGTATTTAAGTCTAGGTGTATTGCTATTATTCTGTGGAACTTCCTTCATACTCTCTTCCTCATCTTGATAGCAATAGCAATAGCAGTCAGACTTATATACCGCTTCATAGGGCTTTCAGGCCTCTCTAAGCGGTTTACAGAGTCAGCATATTTCCCCCAACAATAATCCGGGTCCTCATTTTACCCACCTCAGAAGGATGGAAGGCTGAGTCAACCCTGAGCCGGTGAGATTTGAACTGCTGAACTAGCAGTCAGCTGAAGTGGCCTGCAGTGCTGCATTTAACCACTGCGCCACCTCGGCTTTGATACTATTGAGATGTATCAAATCTCTTTTAGAGGTTAGTTTCTCCTATGAGCAGATTTGATGGATAAGCTGGATGGGCTGGTACAGGGGAAATAATTGTTCCACTGATGATATTCTGCATTTATACAGATAACAGCGGTGACACTGGATGCAACTTCTAAGATGAAGGTTTAACACTGAAATAGTAAAATACATTTATGAGCTTGAATATATTCACAGTACACCTCATTCAAATATTAGATATTTTTAAAATATTTCAACATAAAGTACTTGATCTTCTATTCATTCAGTAAAGATATAATAAATACTATAAAATTTACATTTTACAGTCTATTGTGTAGTTGAAATAAACATAAATGCAAATTTTTCATGTGGAAAAAGCAAGTATATATTCACATTGATTACTACCTCAAATATCAAAAGTTACTATCATATATAGCAGATTAGAACATTAGAGAGCTTCTGAGAAGAAACTGTCTTATTAAAACCTCAGACATTTAGTTTGCTTTTCATTTGAAGTGTATGCCTAGATCAAAATACCTCTCTGAGGTCTTCAGAAATAAGGATATAGATACCTAGTTAATTAATTAATTTGCTGTCCAGCTCACTGTAGGGCTACTCTGGGCAGCTTACAACAACAAAATGGAGGAAAATGATAAAAAATGTAAACTTAATAACAGAATAAAACAATGGAAATAAACAGTGTGGAAGTACAGTAATATGAAATTGAAAAGATGGGTGGAGGAGAGCAAGAAGCACAGCAGGGAGGTGGAGCCAGCTAATTAATCTAGTAGCCACCTCCAGCAATGTACTCCCCTATTGGGTCCCCAAGCCAACTGGCACAGCCAGTTCTTCAGGCCCTTGAAGGATAGGAAGGTGGGGAGCAAACCTCACGGCTCTCCTGCATTCCATCAGTCAGAGTTCCTTGACTGATAGGATCCTCAGCAGGCCTCCTCTGCCAGCACAGGTAGAGTGAGATTCCGTGCAACAGATCAAACCAGCAGCCTTGGGACCAAGTCACTGGGAGCATCTGCATAAATCAGAGAATTCTGGGAGCGCAAGAAATGCTGCCTGAGCTGGGACTCTGTTCCAACCAAAAACTAAAGCAGGGAGCCTACAAGAGAATATCAATTTGCATCTACACAAATCCTGAAAATCCATGGAGAATAGGGTAGCACCGTCGTGACCTGCAAGTTGTATGTTATCTTTATAATCCTGCCAAGGGAGGACATCCAAACTGATCAGATTCCTAGAGGAGAAAGTGGGAAATTTACAAGCACATCTACCCACTCTTGAATCTAATCCATGAAAATGAGGAATACCTTAGAAAGATAAAAGTCTGTATTCAAACTAAATGCAGCAAGGAAGAAACTACAAGGAGAAATGAAGCCCTAGAGGAAGACTGATTGCCACATGTCCCTCAGGACAAAAAAAAACCCTCAAGAAGATTGTCCCTGCCACAGGAGCTGAACAGCAGTTGATTTCATACCCTTCCTCTGGAAGAAAACACACAGGGGTAGGATCTTCATGAAGTGTTCCATTGACAGGAAGAAAAGTAACTCAGATTCTCACAAAGAGGAGGAGTCCGCTGCCCCAAAAAGAAAAAGTCATTTCACTGTTCAGAGGAACAGAAGCACCAGTTTGCAAACTGGACAACCTATCAAGGGAGGTATTATCTCCCAGGTGCAAAGATAAAAGATGTGATAGAGTGGGGCAGGCGGGGCTGACGTCCGGATGAGACCACATGCAATCTTGTAGCTCCAAGATTGCTGTTGATATCTATGCTGCTGGACGGTTCTTTTGAACCTAAACCATCCCAAAGAGACGGTGATAGAGAGGGGCACATCCTGCTGATCTCAGGGATATCGCAAAGTCCCTGTTTGACCCAGGAGTAGCCGTTTCTTGCCGGCACCAGCGAGGCAGCCATATAGCTGCTGAAATCAGGACAGCTCCCGAACGGAAGAAAAACAGAAGAGAAGCGTGTCGTTTTGGTGAGATTTCTTCTTCTTCATTAACATCTGAGAGAACACCCTAAAAGACTAAAAATAAAGTTAAAGTTGAAGACAGAAAGTGAATAAGCAGCAAGATTTGGCCAGAAAGTCAAACGGATTGTTTTTATTTTCTTCCTTTTTAAAATGGGAATTTTTGTTGACTTTTACAACGCCCGTTACTTTTTAAACTGGATTGGGTTTTTTTCCTCTTCCTTTTTTTCTTTTAAATGCTGACATAAACATTTTCTTATTGACTAAGACCTCTTTCTCTCTACTTTTCTCTTTCTAATGTTTTATTGTTTTCCTTTTCTTTATGGATTTTTTTAGTTTCCTTTGAATCGGGGAAAAGGAAGTGTCTAGTGCTAAAAAATGAGGCTTTGAAGCATTGTTTCTTTTCTCTCCATGTGTGTTTTGAGAAAAAAGTCTTGAGCCAGCTGATAATGGGGAAAGCATTGAAGATTGTTTATTCATGTGCTTTCCTGGGATATCAGTGAATGGAGGCTGGACTGAAAGGGAGCTTGGCAGTTTAAAGCTATAAGTTTGTTGTGACCTTGGAAAAAGAGAACTGACAACTTTATCTGGAACTTAGCATAAGAACCTCAGTAGTGGCTGTGATTTCTTTTTCTATTTACCTTTATTTTTTATTTTTCCCACTGCATTGCTTCCCACTCAGACTTAGTTATTTTTAGAGGCTTTTGGCAGCAGAAGCCTAGTGTCTTTTTGCTT